ACACATTTAGCACAAAGGTTCTTCAGATACTCAAGACACAGACCGCAATCTGGCCATAGCCCTCTTTCCTCAAATACTTGCTGATGACCCTTTTGCACTCGTGTTTCTCCTTCTTCATATTCACGTCCAGCCAATCAATGGTACAAAGATGGTATATTGCTTGTCCCATCTACTCCTATAAGGTAGCCATTCCATCAAAATGACTGCTCATCACTAGAGGTAAGATTCATGTTTGATACATGTAAAGCATCACTAGCAAATAGTCCTAGATTAGAAGAATTGTCAAAGAGGAATAAAAACTGATGTCCTGGATAGCTCACTTCTACCATCTGTATTGCAATTTCCGTTAAATATTTTACTAAGTCTTTACCTTCCCAATACCTGGCCTCTCATCTATATTTACAAAGAATACTAGTATACTCTGGCAAATTTAACACCTCTCCAATGAATGTAATGAAGTACTCAGACGACACCATGTCAGAAGGAAGCCAGAGACTATTATTCCTTGACATCTCCACTTTAATCAAATGAAGTGATAACCCTTGTAAACCCAGGCTTGATGTTAGCCATCATTTGATTGGAAGATGGATTCATCATGGGTAACCAAGATAAGAACCGGCATTAGTGGGTCTATGGCATGCACTTCCACTCCCTCTTAATACCTTTTATCAATCATTGACCTATTGTCATTAAACTCTACTACCAGAGGCCAGTAAGCTTCCAGGAGGAGCAACCATTGCTCCCTTTATACCTGTACGTCATCCCTCTCATCACCATCTAAATATATGTCTTTTTTAATATCCCACCAATCAAATCCCAATTTTCCCAACTAGCGCTGCACAGTTCTTACCACAACACCTCAGTGCCTTTAAAGTGCCCTTGTGGATGATCATTTTCTAACCTAGGTCTGAGAATATTCCGTCAATATTCAGCATACCTGCAGCATCTTCCCCAGGAGAATCAATGCCACTAAGTGCCCTATTATTGGAAAGAAAGTTAAGTACAACTTTTGTTATCTTCCATGATGTGATTCCTAATAATATTTATAAAAATTAGTTCAAATTCATAATTCATTCACTATGTGTGGTATAATAAGAACAGAGCTCTTACCATCATTAGCTTTTGATACATTGTCTCATATTAATAACTGTAGCTCTTCATGGAAGAATAAAGATTCAGGAAGCCAACGCTTTTGAGAGCTTCCTCTATAGTCTTCTGCAGCGGGAACTGTGGAATGAACTATCCATTCATGTTTCCATCAAATTATCCACCTAGCTGTTTGCCCCCCTCATCTAAAACTATTCGCTACTGCCCTAGTTGTACTTTTCTGAGTGCTATCCCACTCCTTTGCGAACGAAGAAATGCATATACTGTTTCATGTCTTTTCAAGAGGTGTCCTTTCAGTCCCTGAGCTCCAAAAATCACAACCTGATTACATTTTCTTCGTAACAGGTTTCCTAGCCTATCCAGAGCATGCGACCACCCCTTTTGTTGTATTTCCTTCCTTATAAGGCTAAGCACACCGCCAGGAGGAACATCAGAGAGCCTTAATGTCTGCAGCGGATCCCCAGAGTGTAAATATTCCACAATAATATCTGCAAAACTACTAGCTTCTCTTCTACTTCTTCTCACTATTAGGCCAATAAATACCTTACAATAAAGACCCAGCTGTGTATTCCTGGTGTAACTCCTCTTGCCTTTTCCATAATGCCGCAATATTGTCTGATCCTCTGGCTGCCTTTCCCAACTTGTTACGTCATTTTCTTTGATTCCGCTCCGATGACTGTGAACCAGTGCCATACCCAACTCTCAAATGCCTTTCTGCACATTGTTTCCACTTGAGTTCTTTCTCTAACTCGCTTTTCAACCTATCCTTTGCATCTTGACTTGATGCCACAGAATTATCACTTTCTAAACTATTATCAGATTCTGATACAGAGTCAGAGGCTCCATACAAAATTGATGGCCAAGAACAGCTTAGACTGTCCATTTTGTAGATTTTATCTGCTTCATGATTCACACTCAGGCTCCGTATGAGTTTCAACTCTTGGGCAGCGGCAAGTTGCTACTTTTGTTTATTACTGGTTGCTATCTCAGACGAATCACTAATTGTTAACTGTAAGAATAGGAGTATGAGATTGGAAGAGAATACACCTGAATCCCAAAGTAGCATTCAGTTATTTTATCTTGCTTACCTCTTGTCTCACTTTCACCAATTTATCAGATATCACTCGGCTTTTTCTTCATGGCAAATATTCTCCAAAACTCCTTAGTTAATTTTCTCCCCCTGTCATTCAAATTTCACTATTTTCAAAGTGTCCCTCACCCTTTATTCTTATCATTTTTGTTTATTCCTTCTGTCATTCTCTTCTTAAGCTACTTATCTATACATTTACAGAAGCATTAATCAATATCTTATTAGTTGGTATGGTGATTAATGATGTGAGGATGGTTGTTTTTCGAGCTCTTTTGGTAGTAGTTGCTATTTTCCAGCACAGTACTAGGGTAGATCATGAATTTATGGTACAGAGCAGGGGTGGTGCCAGGTGTTTCAAGGCAGCACTTTGGTACACTGCAACGGAAGCAACATTTCAACAGAAAAATATGTGTTATGGTGCAGAATCTCTTAAAATAAACCTTTACCAAGATTTCCTTTCAGCTCAAGTTGATGGTGTTTTTGGCTACAATATTCCTAGAAAAGAAATAAAATATTAAATACTTGACCAATATATCCTCTAGATATGAGTAACAAATTTTCAAGGGATTGTACAAAGCCCTTAACAGAGTTTTGTATCAATCAATAGTTCCTAGAGTGTATAAAATGCAATCAGGATTTAAGAAGTTATTTACCACACTACAATCAGCCTTTAGGAGTGTTTAGTTTTATGAGCTTATGAATTTATCAACATTCTTTATCATAGTTTTGCTTGATTGATCTTCCTGGTCCAAAGAGTAATCATTATTCTAATGATGTTTTATTTGAAGTGTACTACATCTACTGAGACATTACTAGTGCGGTGTACCATGAATTCATGATATACCCTAGTACCTGTACTCGAGTACAGTTGTGTCTGTACAGTCTTCATACCCCAGCGCGGCAACGGTGTTGTCCTCTATCCCTACAACAACCACCTCTACCATGATCCACCCACATACCTGAAGAGCTAGAGAAGATCAAAATAAGGAACTTTATGCCCTGTATAAACATACTGATATGGGGTATAATAAAATTTCTAAGGTTATGGGTATCTCTAAGGCAACTGTTCAATCAGTAGTCAAAAGAGCTGAATCAAGAGATGGAAATATCCATGATGCCCCCAGATCTGGAAGACCAACAACAATTACCCCTCAAAAAAAAAAGATAGTGGAGTCCATCATCGATGCCAAGCCTCATTTAGCGTTATGCGACATTACCATAAAAGCGAATATTGGTCTGAGAAAGATATCTGTGGATAAGATCATATCAGAAGCTCGTTTTAAGCTTCTGATACCTAGAAAAAAACCTTTTTGGAGGAAAGGACAGAAGGAGAAGAGAAAGGAGTTTGCTAGGAGAAGGAGGAATAGGAGGGATGCATGGAATTGGGTTGTTTTTGTGGATGAAGCCACTATTATCTATGATCCAAATCCTACTGGCAGGAAGGTCAGAGTTAGACCTGGTGAAGAGCTGGAAGAAAAAAACTTGAAGCCTAGCTTTAAGTCTGGGAGGACTAGTATTGGGGTCTATGCTGCAATCATGAAGGGTGGCAGGACTGAGTTAATTCTTGTGAGGAAGAGGGGGGAGGAAGAAAGGACCAGCAAAAGAGACAGACTTGGTCTCAATTCCCACCAATATGCAACTGAAATCCACCAGCCATACCTCATCTCTTTTATAGAAGGTCTGGATAGACCTTCTGACAACATCTACCTAGCAGCAGACAATGCCTCCTGGCATGGTGGTGAGGAAAACAGAAAATTGCAGTCAGACTGTGGTTATCAAAAATTGCCTTGACCACCCAACTCACCAGATCTCAATCCTATTGAGAACACTTGGGCTCTGCTCAAAAGAGCCAAAAAACAGAAATCGATTCTCCAGGTTGGATAGGAGGCCTCACAGTGCTGCTGAATTATTTCAGGCAGCAAAGGAGGAATGGGATTTAATTTCCCAAGAGAAGTTGGATAGGTGGATAGACAGGATACCTGAGAGAATACAGGCTGTACTAGATGCAGATGGTGGTCATACAAAGTGGTAATAATATTTTCTTAAGGCTTATTAGTTCTATTCATATACTTTTCTTAATTGAGTTGTTTGAATTTTTTTTCAATTTTCCATGGAGAGGTGTTGTGGTTGTGTGGTTGCGCCACCGGGGTATGAAGACTTTACGGACACGACTGTACTGTGCGAACAGTAACGACCAGGGATTAGGTCGCCTCCCACACGTGTTCAATACGATCATCACGTTATTATTATGAGCTGCGTTTGTCTTCGTAATTTTTCGTATCGTAGATCCCCCCTCTTATCGGGTGCCCAATACCGGTACCGGCGGCCTCCGTTCCGAGCATAGACCATCGACAGTGTCAAGTCACGTCACAGCATCAATAGCCGGTTTCGGTGATGCCTCCCATCATCACTGTACTGTACTTGTACTCGAGGATGATATCGGCGCTTGCTAAGTTGGTGCCCCAAGGTGACCCGGAGTGGTTTGATGCTACTTTTCTGGTGCCAGAAGGGGCAGGGGGATACGCTGGGGCTTTATTTGCCCGCGGTGATGCGGGACCGTATGCAAGAGTGAACTTCCCCTCAAACTTCAGCGGGGTATTCCCATTCCACCGCCAAAATAAATAAACACAGGATTCCCCCTTACACAGGACGTGCAAGTTCAGCCATCATCCTCACTCCATCCAGGAGCCTCCCTTCGGATTCTCGTATCCAAACTTGTTCCTCGCCAACCAACCTCTCCCTCCCAACTCCCACCACGTACTCTGTGGGCGAGCGCCACATCCAATCCCATCACAGTCTAGCCATGGCCGATACAGCTACTATCGACACTCTTGCTACCTCTCCGATCAAGGAGCGTCAGGGTTCTCTGGAGAATGGTGCTACTCGATAAGACTCAGTCCCTTGAAATAATGGGACTTTGCTAACCCATTTAAAGCTCTGGCACATCGCCCCGACCAGAAAGAGCTCGAGGAAAGAAACATCCTGCACACCGGGGCGGAAATCTCTGAACGCCAACAAGGTAGCTTGATGCTGGTCTAGGCTATGATAAGCTAACATTGACCTAGAACTTGCGAGAGCTATGGCCCACAGGCCAGAGAAAGATGACCTTGTGCAGCGTACGTTTCACGCAACAACTGACTCAGTTTCTCCCACTAACAAAGCTTCCGGTGAGGGTCATCAGGGAATATTTTACCTCACAACGCCAATGTAGCACCAGCACTCATTGCACACCAACGGGAGCTGGAGAAAAGCATGCTCGAGCGTGATCTGAAGGTATTTTTATCTTTGTGTCATTGTTGCTCTTTATTGCTACATTTACTGATAACCCGCAGGAGAAACTTTCGCACCGTCCAGAGCCTCAAGAGGTTATCCAAAAGGGCATCTTGAGACGTGAGTGTTGTTTGCAATCCAACCTTTTGCAAACCTACTGACTAGGACCTTCCCTGAGCCACACAGCCGACGAAGACCCAACCAAGCCTCGAGCGTAGGAACCGATTCCGGATTCGATAAACCTCAGACTCCATTGCTTGCCTTACCTTGGGCACTCTTGTACTAAATGCTAGCCCTACCCAGCGGCCGAAAGATCTATTTATCATATCGTATCGCACTGGGCGTTTCAAATGTTTTTCCTTCTCTCAGGGGTTTGTCAATTTCTGATGCCCGACGTCAATACCCTAAAGATATTCGCGTTTGGCAGGAAAGGATATTGATTTGATGAGGAGCCCCATGTGCTCGATTATCCCAGTGTGATCATCTCTCTTTACGAAATCCAATGCTTATCTTGTTATTTCCAATCGATACCTAATGACCCAGATAGTGATACCCTACGCCTGTAAATCTCGCTTGCACGTTCCATAGGCGAAAGTATTACTATTTGTCATTTAACTGTTAGAGCTGCATGCAGATCCGGCTTGTATTCAAGCTACAGTATTGCTACCACTTAAGCACAGTTCTCGAGTGACTGGAATGTACTCGTACTGTAATAAGTGCTACAACCCTCACGATTGAATGTCAAAGCCTCCGGTGGCTCGCTAGCTTATAACTTCGCTCGTGAGACTACTACAATGGCTCGGAGAATGTAGGAAATACCGAAGAACTCATTAAACCAAGGAAACCTGCCACTTGTAGCAGAGTTCACCCCCCACATCCGCTGGCGGCTGTGTATAAAGCATAGACTAAGTAAGAATTGTCCGAATCAACCCCTTTACTCGAGTACCGTCGAGCAAAAGCATCCTGCTTATCCTCCCCCTCCCTTCTTAGCCCGACCCAATCCCTAACCCACCCCGTGGATGGACAAATCCGAAGCCACTGCAAACTACTCGTAGAACTTCATCGAAACCAGTTCCGACTCCCTCTATCCCTTGACGCCCTCCTACTCGGGGGGCACCCTCTGCACCAAATCCCTCAACTATAACCACCCCGAGGAAGTTAGGAAGGCCGGGAGTGATGGGAAGGGACTAAGTTGATCGTTATCAAGCATGTAACTCTGTCTCCCGATATTACCATGTAATTTACTGGGGTAACGTAAAGAATTGTAATCCGAACAACCCAACAGGCGTGACACACCCCGCCGAAACCCTGAAAGACGTAGCCTCGATCCCCAAATCCCGCGGTAACATTCCCATTCCTCACGAACAATGGCCTACCGCCCTCTCTTCCACAACCCTGACTGGCCGGCCGCAGAGTCGATGGTGGACCTCTACCCTCACGGCATCACAGCGGGCTCGTTGTCCAAGACATGCGCACTCGCCGGGATCCACGTGGGCCGGGTGGCAGCGGGGTAGCCCTGGGTTATGAGAGTGCACCGCGGTAAGGGATTGCCCCACCAATTCCGTGTCTATGCAGACGGGGCGATTACCGCGTTCGCGCTTTCGAAGGGGACCGTGGAGGAGTTGCTGCAGAGGAATGCGGCGCTTTGAGAGGCATTAGAACATTGTTGAGGGGAATGGGGGATTTATAGGGCGATATTCGGGACCTCTTCTACTCCACTCTACCTGCAGAAGTGTTCGTGGGGCTGCTGGGTTAGCGCCTCGAGTGATTACTACCTAACTTTCGGAAATAACAAAGAGCATAAAGGGGACGGCCGAAGGCCATGAACTAGACCAATATCGTAAGGATGAAAAGATAAAGAGCCCCCGAAGAGCCTGAAAACTGATGCGGCGGGATTGTGGTAAAAAACAACGAATTTGTTTCTAAGATAGGAGTAGCTCTGTTTGTCATGGAAAGCCACAATTTCATTTTTCCGTAGGAGGGAAGCTCTCTTCAAGTGGTTTTCGACTGTTTTGGCAGCGTTGGTGGGTAAAAGGAGGGTGCACAATCGACTGCAATACCGGTATGACACCCGCTTTCGTTCAATTGCTCACTAATATGTCTCGGGGTTTCTCGGTTTTGTTCATTGAGTTACTCGAGTACTGTACCATAGCCGACAGGGGTGGGTTCCTGCAGATAATAGTTTTTGTTGCGAGATGCACGCGGGGGAAGGATGGCTTGCTTGTTTACATGGGATTTCGCTTCGGGAGCAAGTTCAAGGGATGAATTATTACTGTGGCATAGGAGTGATGGATGATGGGCGAGAGAGGATTCGGAATTTCTTAAAAGAGCTTTAAGGGTACTCTAGGCTAACTACTATGCGCATTTCATGTAATCACCTCGAGAGCAAAAAAAAAGACCACTTGATACCTGCTACACCGCCCAAATATCGGACTTGTCAACTCCCCAGACAAATTATAAAAAGGAAAACAGGACGCCGCTTACACAGTGACTATCAAAACAAGACCATTCTATCATGAAATTTAGTTCAGCTAAAAGAAATCCAAGTCTAAGCATTGAAATTCGGGATTTTAGCCTCCTCATGATCCTCGGAATTACGGCTTCGAGAGCCGGATTTCCTTTTCTCCTTCCCCTTCTTATCCTTCTTGTCGCTCTCCTTTTTAGCTGCATCCGCTACCAGCTGTTCAAACACACCTTCAGGAAATTCTTCGTCCGGATCGCGTTCCGCCTGAGACCTGTTAGTGAAAAAATTCTAGGGGCGGGACCAGCTAAAAGCTAAGAGCAATACGTTTTTGAAAATAGTCCCAATCATGATCAAAGCATGCGCCCTCTCGACTCTCTTATTTAGAGGAACATTTTTATCGTTCAAAACCTTGTCACAGACCTCCCTGCGAATATATCAGTAACAGGATCGGCGGGTGAGCTGATTTTTTGGAGGTTTACCTGAGAACACTCTGGATTTCGAACCTGCTTCCTCTCCAGGCCGCAGCTAGGATTTTACCAGTCACTTTCCTCTCGTATTCGGCTTTCTTCTCGTCAGTCCAATCTTCGCCCCCCTTCTCCTCCATCTTTGCCATTTCTTCCATTGTCATCTGCGCATCTATAGCTGTAGATATAGTTCCCCAAGTGTCTTTAACAATATTCCCTTTATCCTTGAGCCTGCTAAAAAAACCGCTAATCCCGAGGAACTTTTGAGATTTGACAAAAGAAGCCCCTTTAGAAAGGTATGTATTGCCGATAGCTATCAAATAATTTCAGCGGCGATCAGGGAGGATGAGCCATGGTTGCTTACCATGCAAAATTTCAATCCCGAAACTCTCCATCTTGAGATTTTCAACCTCATATTTAGTCTTTTCATTGAAAGAGTGAGTAACCTCTCCACCTTTGTCTGTTTCAGTCCAGACACAAATTCGATCTACTAATTTCCTTGCCAAAGTATCGACCCTCTCCTGTCTAATCTTTCGCCTTTCTGCTTCATATGCTGCAAGCTCCTCGCGTTGTTCTTTGCTCAATCCCTTTTTCGCCTTCTCTTTCCGTTTTAAGTCCTTTTCCTCTTGGCTCATGCCTTCAGCATCCATCCGGGCATCTTCCTCTGACTTATCCATTAACATCTGCCTAGTTGGTACACCTCTCGGACGGGGTGTAGAAGCTCTCGATATAGGCGGGGAAGTGAACGGGACTTTCTCTGACTTCTCCGGTGGGCGGACTAGCGGGTCTGAGGGAGGGGGTGTCACTATATGATCGGTTGAACGGGTGGAAGTAAGAGGTGTTTCTTCGTCTGCCACAGGAATGGCAGAAGCTTTCTTCTCCGAAGCTCCGGCGTTTGATGGACCAGCTTCACTCTCAGGAGTCTTCTTTTCATCATCACCACTTGCTATCTCATCTTCCTCGGCATCCTTCATCGTAATTTCCATTGTCCTCGTCAGGTCCTTCATGAGCGAGATCTCACCAATCCTTTCGGTTTTTTAAAATTAGTTCGCAGTTCTAACTAAACGAGACATAAGAATTTGTGAAGAAACCTTACCAATCTACAAAGGCATCACCTCCAAATATCATACTGAAAAACTCTCCAGGGTCCTCTGAAAAATGTTAGCGCATCAAGCCCAGCAAAATACACGGGGAAAGCGCGAAAGAGGATCCTACCAAAGCCGCTGTCTGGAACAGCTCGTTCTTTCCCAAATTTATCATACTGCCTCCGCAAATCGGTGTTGCTCAGAACCTGGTATGCTTCGCTAATCTAATAGAGTTTTTGCCGAGTCAGCCTGAGATCTCAATAACATTTCCTTGGCAGGGTAAGAAAGGGAATCCTGACGGCTTGAAACTTTTCGGCTGCAGTCTCGTCATCAAGGTTTTTGTCGGGATGTAACTTTATCGCAAGTTTGCGGTATGCTTTCTTGACTTCGAGCTCACTGGCTGTCGACGATACCCCAAGGGCATCATAGTACTCCGTTTCCTTAACCATGTGGAGTTGATGAAAGTAAGAGCTGAGAGACGGGGGTGTAAAGTAGAGGTGAAAGGTGAGAGACTAACAGGTCAAATAAACGCGGCCAAAGAAATAGGCAAGAGGAGGGGCGGGGGTTGATAACTGACGTTGTGTAGTCCAATCAAATCGGTCTTCGGGTAAGTGACTCAGCTACGGCAAGGTTAACTCTCAACCATTTCACGTGGCATGATCGAGAATTCCATAAGATACAGGTACAATCTTGGCGACAAAATTCGTCGCCCACTCCATATCTCACCAGAGGGAGCTGATCCCAAACACACAACTCATTTGAAATTAATGCCATAGTGTATAGTTAGGCAATTACACAGGCTTCCTGGCTAGAAATCATGTGAATTTTGCTACACAACTATGATGGCTGAGAGCTAAGAGTACAAATTTTATATTGTTGCAATATACAGGTTTGCGTCTAGAGAGAGTCTTTACAATAAGGGCTAATTCAAACAAGTAAACAACAATAAGCCAAACATCCATAAATAAATAAATAACTAAATTTTACTTAAATATATAGTAAAATATAAGTTGTAAAGAATATTTATAAGAATTAGGGCCTTTTCAGCACACATTCAGACAAAAATACAATCATATTACAGGGAAATAGCTTATAAGCTAAAATATAATACAGTAGTATTGCTAAAAATAATGGTACTCGGCAACACACTTTTACTATAGTATTTTGCTTAATAAGCAAAATCTTATCTGAGATTGTTAGACAGAGACAACCTGATAGACTTCAGAGTTATTTAGGCCAACCAAAATTCATTTCTGTAGATGGAGATTGTCAAGGAAGGCTTGGACTTTACTCATTTCATTTATGGCTACTAAGAGTAAAGTAAAATAGATAAAGTAGAATTGAATTGTAAAGACAATTTTATATTGTTAAGGTCTCTTCTGTTGCTTGATGATGTCTAAAGTTTGGGAGGCACTTCCATATTTATATTCCACATCTGAGTGTTCGTGGACTACATCAATTTTTATACAACTATGTACCTCTCTGATTATAACTCGCAATGTCGGTAATTCTTAAAAGGTGGGAACCCCTGGAGACTCGGAAAATCACCACACTCTCTGCGGCAATTACAATATAACTAACTAGGAACCATGATGTTCCCAATAGTAGTTAACCATTTATTAGAGTCTTTAGACTTAGGGCCTAGTTCTCAAGTCGAACTCGGTTGGCCCTAATTGTCTCCGTCATTAATGAAATAATCAGTTTCATCTGTGGGTTGTATTTGCGAAAGTAGTCATAATTGCAACATTTCTAGATCACCTGACTTCAAACTCTCATAACTCCTTACTCAACCAATAAATATCTTCCCGAGGACTTCTTTCTAATTTGCAGGAAGCTATTCCACCGAATTGACAAATAATCTCTCAGTTGGCAATACTTGGTTACTCTGGGTAACAGGGCTTCGATCACTGTTGTAGTCTCGGGAGTGATCCCTGCAGCTACAATGTGTTCTGAAACATAGTTGTAACACTCTGTGAAGTCTATTGGCTTTTATGGTAGTATCCCTTGGAGTTCAAGACTCTTCTGATTATTCTAGGGTGAATGTGTATGTATTGGTCTCTGGTTGAGATCCTTTATCATTCGAGACCATCTCATCATCCGAGAAGGTCCTGTTACTTATGACCAATGACCAACACATTCCATCTGTGATGACTAGTAACACTCTATGTAGTTAACAGATTTACTCCACTCCACTTTCCAGGCATAACTAAAGGTCTCCTCTCACATATCCTGTGAACGGCATCTACTCGTATGGACGGTAGTGACCTCTATGGTGTTATTCTGATAACTTTAATTCTGTGGCATTATTGTCACAGAACACAATTGAGATTGACATGTATGATGATGTGCAGGTCCTGTAAGAGGGCCTGAGAGATATCTTGGAGACCAGAGATTCTGATTCTGAGTAGGGTTACCCTACCTAGGGTAATTCCTAGGTATCGGATTCTTGTATTCCTAATATGAGCTCTCTGATCTTAAGGCTTCTCCCCACATATCTTTGGAGTACATATAAAATAAATTACAAATTACATATTAAATTAAAACAATAAATCATTAAACCTCAAACATTAGCTTCATCAGGACCAGATGAGAGTAGGGTGAAAAACCTTTTGGCTCTGCTTGGCCATGAAAGGAAAACCCTTTCTTCATCGTTCTTCCTCTGCCCATTGTGGTATTTCCGGATTATCACAATCAAATTCGTCTACTATTGTCCTTCCATTATCCATGCCGGTGGCCGGTTCCCAGATGTTCTTGGCTTCAGAACAACCTTGCTATTTAACAAAGTACCATAGTTGATGTACCTCCTGGTAGCAACTGGGTACTCTCTTTTTGTAAGAGCGTATCTCGGTTCTTACAATTTTCTCTATTTCCCATTGTAAGTCATCTTCCATATTCTCTGGCTCTCAGGGAGGTCATTGTCAATCCACACATATCTACTCTCTGTAAGGTTATAATAGAGATATATGGAATGCTGGGTATATGTTCTATTTATCTGAAATATTGAGTTTACAGGCACAGTTTCTTCGTTTTTCCAAGATCATGAATGGTCCAGATAATTTTGGACTGAGTTTCTTTTACTTCTGATATATGAGAATGTTCTTTGTGTTTAACATTACCTTGTTGCCTATTTTGAAGTCAGGTTGTTGCTTGGTCTTCCGCTCATAGTCTTTGGCAATGCCGTGTCGTCTCTGTTGGAGTGACTGCTTTGCATGCTGGTAGATTCTTTCTATCCAGTTTGTTTAAAGTATAGCTCCTAGACTTTACACCTCACATTCCTTCATGAATTCAGTTTGTAGATAAAAACCATAGTATGCATAGAAAGGGGTCATTTCATGTGCATTAGTTGCCGAGTTATTATTGGCAGATTTGGTTAGGGGTAGCAATTGGTACCAATCATCCTGATCATAGTTGACGAAACTTGACAAGTACCCTTCCAGCATGTGATTGGTTCGCCCAGTTTGTCTGTCCGTCTATGGGTGGTACGCTGTAGACATCCTCCTTTTTAAGCTTAATATTTTACAAAAAAATTTCCAAAATTCTTCAGCAAACTTCAAGTCCCTATCTGAGACAATTTCTGTTTGTAAGCAATATAGCTTCCATATTCCCTTTATAAAGAATATAGCCACATTCTTTATAGTAGCTGTCTCTTCTAATCTAAAGAAGTAGGCCATTTTTATACACTGGTCAACTACTATAATACTTTGGATGTAACCTTGATTCTGGGTAACTGCGTAATAAAGTCAATGGAAATTGATGCCCATGCTGCATAGGGTATTGACAGCGGTTATAGTAGTTTACATTCGCCTATCATGGGAATTTGTTGTGTTGACAATTATAACATGACCCTACATAATTGTTTACCCAATCTGCCAGCCCTTTCCTATAGAATTCTCTCATAATTATTTTAAGTGTTTTTTCATGTCTGAAGTAGCATGCTATTTTATTGTTGTGATACCCTTCAGCTATTGTTGTATAATAGTACTGAATTTTTGGTATTAATAGTCTTTGCTTATAGTAAAGCAACTCGTTGGACAAGGTTCAGTCTTTCAGAAAAGGTTTGCTGTTATCTCATAGTATTTCCAACTTAATCTTTTCTTTTAAGCCCTTCTCTATCTTTTGGAATAGCTTTTAGGATTTGCTCCAAGAAATTTCTGATTGAATTTCTTCAATTTCTTGCAGGCTAATATCACACTAGTTATGAGGGTTTGCGCTGATATTTCAGCCGCCTCATAGTATTGTGTATTTTGGTCTATTGATGCATGCAACTGGCTGACTACCGCTTCAAATTCACGGATAGTAATAGCTCTTGTTGCAATATCTGTGCTGCCGAATCCTGACCTGCTTCTTTCAGTATCTTCTAGGTTGTTTATTTCCATCACATCCGCAGGATTAATTTCTTCTACTACTAAGTAGGCAATTAGATCGCCAGTTTTGATGTGACAACCTAAGTCTTGGTGGTTGAATAGCAAAATTTTGAGATTTTCAGTAAAATCTGCATTGATTATACCAGTACATGTAGAGCTACTGCTTTTGACCGCCAATTCTGTTCTTACAGTAATTCTTCTCTAAGTTCCGACCACTAGCCTCCTTGCCATCCTGGTCCTTATAATTAACTGACCCATAGCTGGGACTATATCTCCCTGCATGGCATGAAAATTGTGGCCTGCTGCCACCCTTGAACCTTTAGTTGGCAACCTTGCTCCTGTGTTTAACTGTTTTACTCCAATCACGGAGTCCTAATCGTTCCAATTTGCTATTTCCTGTATGTTACCAGTGCTTATATCATCTGCTGTGCTGCTCGTTAATAGACATATTTGAATATTCCCTTCGACAGTTCATATTACTGAACTTACTTGGAAATCTTTGAGTTTTAATATCCCTTGTTCGTGATATGCAGTGCACTCCTCCGATCAGTACTCTGGCTATTGACTATATGTAGCAGGTTTGCCTCCTCTTGTACCTGGGTGGTAAACAATATTGAAGTTGTAATCTACTAGCTTCTACATCCAATAGATTTGCCATCTACGGTAGGCCTTTGAGGTAAGGAAATATTGGAGGTTTTATTGATCTGTATACACAGTTATTAGTTTCTCAGGTTCCAACTAGGCATTGGCGCCATTCTTTAAAAGCTTCCAATATTGCCAACAGTTCTTTGTCGTGTATCTCATAATTCTGCTCTGCAGAATTTAGTTTGCGGAAGTGAAAAGCAAAAAGATGTAGTCTTTTCTCTACAAATTGAAAGAGGATGTAGCTTAAAGTAAAGTTGTTAGCATCAGTTTCCACTACTGTTTCGCTTTCTGAGAAGAAATAGAATAAAATTGGGGCCGAAGTAATCCTTCTCTTAAGCTCCTGAAAGGCATTTTCCTGTTTTGGGCTCTACTGGAACTTCTTTGGATCACTCTTCAATGTTACTATAATTGGAGCGCAAATCTTGGAGAAGGTTTCAATA